CGGCGGCGGGCGGGGCGCGGGGCAGCGGCGCGGTGAGTGCTTGGGACCGGCGCCGGGCGGCGGCCTCGCTCTTTGTCTGCGCCCGGGGCAGGGCGGGGTAGGCCGCGCTGTTCCTTCCTCCTTCCCTCTCTCCCCACCCGGCGCCCCTCGGAGGAGCCCGGCTCCGGCGGTTCTGGCCTACTGCCCGGCCCGCTCCGCGGGAGCCCCTGGTGGTGCCGCCCCAGCCGCCCTCTGTACACCAGCCTCCCAGGTGCGGGTGGAAGTGCCCGGGCACCTGTGTTTCCAGAAGGCGGGTGAGGGAGGGCCACAGCAGTTGTCAGCTTCCTGCTTTAGGCTGATGATGAGGGAGGGAGGGAGAAGTCTGGGCCTGGAATCCCCCTGCCCCTTCCCTGATAGCCTATGCACGGGTGAGTTGCAACCCTGGATCTTGTGGATGCAGGAGAAGGTCAGGCTAAGCCCCTGTTTACAGTAGGCTGTTTTTGCCCCCAATACTTCTGCCAGCGTTGGGCATCCTTGGCCTTCTGGTGGCTTGTGTGGCTCCATGCAGTAGCTCTGCTGTGTGAGCCTAAAGTGTAACTTGGGCGGCACCAGCTGCAGGAAATTTGCTGCTGGAGGGGTCCCCGTGTACCTGATGGCATCAGAAGCCTTAGCGTGCCCAGCAGAGGAGGTTTGGGTGGGGACGTCCTCCAAGTTCTGCCTGTAAAGCTTTGTAGCATAGACTAGGCTAGTGGTTCCCAATCTGTGGTATGCTGACAGCCTGTCAGTGGTACGCGTTAACAGATCTATTACAATTACTTTATGTGACAAAAATTTGCTGGTGGTACTTAAGGTTTTATCATTTTAAATGGGTGATGCGCAACCTGGCAGAGTTTGGGAACTGCTGGACTAGGCTACAGATCATTCCTTTACATGGGAGTATTTGTGCTCTTTAAGACGTGGGGGGAAGAGGATATGGAAGTGGTCACACTTTGTGTTTCATGTAATAGTCTAGTAGGTAAAGAATATGCCTGGAAAATGCCTTCTTCGTCCTCTTCTGGCTGAGAGGGCTCCTAACATTCTTCATTTGAGTGGGGGTTAGCAGCCTTTTCTGGTGCCAGGGTGAAATGACCCAGCTCTGATTGAAGGTGGACCAGTGCTACAACCCAGGTGCCACTTCTCTCTGCTACCTCACCTTGGCATAGTATGTGCAAAGTAAAGTGCCTGGCCACCCAACACAGCACCACCAAAGGTTCCCTGTCCCCAGTGCCCCATGCCACGGGCCAGATTCAGCTTGTGGGCTGTAGGTTGCTTATCTCTGCATTAGTGTTTTACAGTGATCAGACTGAGCTAAGCAGGCTGCGAGTAATTTTGCTGAAGGTGTATAGCAAGGAATGAAAGACTAAGAACAGGGAGCAAGAGCCAGCATGCTCTGCATTTAGTAATTAGGGTACGCTTCTGAATGTCTTGGCTTCCACTGTCTGTTTTTAGGTTTGTTTGTGTATTGGGAAGTGGGAGGCATGGATTTGAATCTGATCAGGCTGATAAGAGCATAGATTTCCCACATCCCAGGTGGTGGCACCACCACTACTACCTCTTCCCCTGGCAGCCACGTTTTTTAAATGTCTGATGTAATACTCCCAACTCGTTAGATGTGGTTCTTGGAGCATGCCTCCTCTAGTAAATCTAATTTGTGAATCCAGGCTGGACTTAGGCATTAGTCTTACTCAGCCTTGTCAGTAGGATATCAGCTCTAGATGTAGAAGGCATCTGGGCAGCATGGGGGTGTTGCTGGCAAAGGTTAGCAAAGAATTTAGGCACTTACGGACTTCTAGATGTCTAAGCAGTTAGGCAAGGGGCTTAACTAGATTGTAGTTTGTTTATTTATTTATTTATTTGCTATGATTTATAGCCTGCTGTATCCAAAAGGTTTAGGACTAAGGTACCAAAATTAGTCTCTGTCCCTTTGTGTATCTAGATATAATCATCCCCAGCTGAAGATTGAACAGAGGGAGTTGCCCTTGTAGCAGGATTGTGATGTTTGCTGTGCTGGGAGGAGTGTCTGTGGAACAGGATACAAATCTCAGTTTTCACTCAGTTAGCAGAGACTTGGTAGCATGTGGCAGCTGAATTGCCTGAGAGACCATATGTACTGTGTGTACTATGGCCCAGGGCTGCAAGGGTTTAACAGGACTTTCCCTGCAGTTACTGCTCTTAGTTGCTCTGGCACCAGTGCAGGAACTGAAACAGGGCAGCTGTATTTCTGTGCTGCTCTTGGTGTGTCTAGGTAGTGTGGAGGACCTGTCGACTGACTGAAATACAGAGGCTTCAAAGAAATGGATGTAGGTCAGCAGTGTGGGAGGGATGGATTTAAAGATGGGATTGGGGGTGGGGGCTGGAGTGGAGCTGCAGCCAATGGCAGGGAAGGGAAGAACGAGGATTGAGATCAGCGTAGCCCTTACGCTATGGAGTGCTGACTTCTCTGAAAACTCACTAGGTTGGGGGTCAGCAACATATGGCCTATGTACTGGATAGAGCCTGCAAAGAGACTTTATATGACTGCCAAGCATGCTGCTGCTGCTTCCCCAGAGCCACAGCAGGATAGGGACAGGCAGGACTACTGTGCTTCCCAGCCGTAAGCGGGGTCTTTCTGGAGATTCTTTCTGGATTCCAGCCAGTCCGATTCTGTTCCACAAGAGCCAACGCAGAACATTGCTGAGCTCCGGTAGCAGCTTGTTTGGATCAACGAATCCAGTTTAAGAATCAGCAGAACTGGGTGGCAGCAGTATTTGGCCTCCTTCCACCTACTTTCTTCCTGCCACCATCAGCTGCTTGGCCCCTATGTACAGAAGCTGGGTCAGAGGTAGCTGATTGGGCTGTTTCGGAGGACAGTGATTCATTTAGGTGTTTTGGATCACTGTTCTGTTTTGATTTGGCCAAATCTGTTTCAGAGGTTCGGATTGGCCAGGGAAAGGCAGGCACAGTCAGGTGGCTGCAGGTTCTCCCGTGGCTCCTCTGGCTGTGCCTGCCTCTGCCCCCGCGGGGGAGCTGCAGGAGAAGCCCCCATGGCTGCTCTGCCCAGCCCCATCCCCTGCCTGGCCTCAGCCTCCCGGCACTTTAAAAGGAGGGCTGTGGGGCTGTGCCAGACTCTTCCCAGGAGGCACATCTGAAACATTTCCAAAATGTTTTGGATGGTTTCTTTTCGGAGATGTTTCAGAGCCTTCTGTTTCATTTTGGATTCGGTGTTTCGGACGCCAAAGCACCTCTGAAATGAGACGGCTGCTGCAGTTTTGCACAGCCCTAATGTCTGGTCCCTGACACCTGGGTCCTCCAATTTTGACTCTAGCTCCCCCTGGATTGAGCGGTTCTTTTGAGTGCAGCCATAACTGTAGTGCCAGTGGAGTGGGAGTTTGCTGGTATCTGCCTGTTACAGGTATATCCATAAGGCAGTGTGCTGGGTGGCTGTGCATTGTCTCTGGCAGAGGAATACAAAGCCATTTGTAGCTTGCTTTGGCTCCTTGGCTGCCTAAGTTTACAGGGAGATAGGCCCTGTTTTCCTGTTAACACAGCGTGCCAAGTGGACACGGGGCTTGAAGGGATAGTGCTTCATCCAGTAAGTAGGGCTTCTCACCATGGGAGAGAAGAGGGAAAGGGCACTGCTAGCCAGCACTTGGTATGGGGAAGTTCTACTAATCTTCTCTTTGAGCTTGCTCTAAGTAAGGGTTTGGGTGGCAAAGGCACTGAGGGAAGTGTTAAATGGCTTTATTTAGACTCCTGGTTTATACAGTGTGGATTTTGGTGGAAATGCGTGTGCAGTTCAGCTGCCAGCTATTGCTCGATTGTTCCATGGCAGTGTGGCTGGGTATGTGACTCCCACAGTGCAGAAGACCCTGCTTTCTTTACTTAAATGTTGGCCCGAACATCCCAAATTTTACTATCAAAATAAAAGAACAAGTCCAATCACTGATACTGCAAGTCCAGCACTGATACTGGAAATCCAGCACATCCCAGAGTACGAGAAAGCACGCCAAAAATGGTACTGTCGCGGAAGTATATATACCTTGTTCTTCCTAAGTGTTGAGCAAGAGCGCACCATCATGTGGCCTACTGTCCAGTGAAAGATTGTTTACCCTTGGACTAGGTTATTCAGTCCCATCCAGTTTCCACAGTAACATGTATATTGGGCAAGAGGACTAGTACAAAATCTGGGGCATGGTAAGGAGAAATGGAATTAAATTGAGATCAGGTGGGTCCATGAGGTATAGCAAACTGAGAGAAGGAGTAGG